TATGTTCACTTCAAATTATTTATGCCAGTGTTCCTACCAGTTAGTAAGCTTCTTCAGGATAGGGACAACCTTAAGTACCTAACAAATATTCACTGTTACTTTAGGATATATCACCCACTGTTACAGATTTAAACAAAAATTAAAATAAATTGGGCTAAATATTGAAATGAATAAACAGCTTCATTACTTTTGCACTTTTCCACATGTGCCTATGTTTTATAAAATCATCAGTGGAAAGATTAAAAATGTGTAAGGGCTTCAGCTGCCAAAAATTTGCCATATTTTATGTAAAATTAAAAGAATAGATCTTAGCATAGGAGAAAGCATGATTAAATTAAATATATGTGGGCGATGTGCCAGTATGAAAGAGCAAATTGTTAATTGTTTAAGATTATAGAAAATCAGAATATATTTCAATAGTTGTTTGACTTGGAAAGTTTCATGAAAATATTATCCAAAAGCATTTTTTTCTAAAAGAAGTTTCTTTTTAAAAAAATTAATTACAATTTTAACAAACATATAACTTTAAAGAGAGATTAGTATTGAGCATCTAAAAATTCAGTGTCTACCACATCACTTCTACCCAAATGTCCTTCTCTCCTACCCAGATATCCCTCCTCATGTCTACCATGTTCTTATGTGACCTGTTCTGGCTCCATGAGACTTTCACTTTGTCTGTCAAAACTCAAACTATTTGACTTTCCACACAGGAAAAAAAAAAAAAAAAACAACTCATGTTTTTTGGATAACTATGGTGCTCTTATCACTTATTTCTTCTAAGTAATTCTGAGAGAGTTAAAAAAAATAACCTAAAAAGTCAAAGAATATTAGTGTTACCAGAGGCATAACAAGAACATCTGGTACAACTGGTATTCAATGAATAAATAAAGAGGTCCATATAGCACTTAACACCCACAATTAAGAACAACGCCAAACAGTATATGTTCTTCTGACAAAGTCCTACTTTTAGAATAGTTTTCTGTTTTCTAATTCAGTCAAGTACTTTGTGTAGTCTTTCTTAATTATATTTTGGCATACACAACTTGTTTTTTGAACTGAGTTTTTCTCTGAGAAGGAAAATAATTTGAGGTATTTTTAAATTTAAAACATGCTTTGATATTTTCTTCAAGCTAAGGATTATCAGAACTTCTGAAAGGGGTAGTAAGAACTGGATCTCTGGTGATGGCAAGCACCTTAAGGCAGACCTAAGGAGATGAGAACACATCTACCACTGGGCACTATGTTGAGGAATGAATTTTGTGGAAATGTAACTGGGAAGATGTCAAATACTCCAGATTTATTTTTTCATTGGCAAGGCACTAATATTATAAAAACAGCTCCACTCTCTCAGTAAATATCCTTTAATACTCACGACATGTCAGAAGGTGGAGCTCTAAACATATCTGAAATACTAGCTTTTGTATATACAGTTTACAAATGTGTGTAATGAGGAGATTAAAGCAGGAGTAAAGTGTTTAGGAAAATGGTTCTAAAGAATATTCAGGTCTTTCAGGATAAAATCCCCCACATCTCCCAATATGTACATGGTTCACACACACACACACAAAAGATGTTTAATGTTTCCTTTGAAATTTTAATATATCTCCTACAATAAGAATTTAAGTGTATGTCAGCTAATAAGATATAAAATATATTTAAAAGGCAAAACATTTTGAAAAATCAGAGCCACCAAGTTGAATGTAGTTAGTTAAGGACATTAATACTTACAGGCATCTCGGATGTAAAGTAACATAGCTATGAAGATATAGTCGACTAAACTCAGGCTGAGGCCATCTGCAAACAAGGCATCCCAGACCACCAGAAGATCCTGCAGAGGGAACTCTCGTCCAAACAGTAGCCGCACCCACCGTCTGCACAGAGATGGAACACTTAGAAAGTAGGACTTTTGAAAGTAAAATGAACAGAAATCATTTTCTCATATAACTGTGAAAAAAATTACAATGTATTAATTCGGTACAGTGAGAAAATATTATATATCAAAAATATGTTAAGTAAAATTTAAGTTTTTTGCAAGCATTGTATGTCAAAAGCATAATACAGTAAAAATTCCTACTTTAAGCTTTTAAATTAATTAGCTTTGATAAGTTTTTGTCCATTTGCTTCTAATTTTATATAACAGAGCTACATTTTCTCTTTTCCTTTCAAGTATTTGTGATTTCTATCAAATACGAAAATTTTCTGTCCTTCTCAAGCTTAATCACCATCTTTTACACACATAGGAATAAAGTTTAATGATTACAGACTAGTACAGAATTAAAAAAATTAATTTCTATTAGTTCCCTTATATGAAAGGTTATGACATAAAAATACAATTTTCCAAAATTTCATAATCCCTAATGATTTTTTGTTGCTATTAACCTAAGCCTTTTAGGAATGTTTTTATGACAAATTATTATAGCCAAACTTAGAAAACTATATTACCATATTTTACTCTTATTTAAAATATTCATTTAAAAATTAAATATGAGAAAAGAATCAGTACTCCTGTAGAGTTTTTTGGTCAAATATAGACAGTTATTGAAAATAAAAATACAGTGATAGTTAATTTTTTTAGCTTTAGAATAAACATAATGAGTGCTTTTCACAACAACTTCTATGGACAGGTGCATGAATACGTCATAGAACAGAGAGCAGGAATAACAATACTAAATAAGGTTTGTATGTAATTGTGTGACATAAATAGCAATACTTTAGACTTTCAATAAGTCCTAATAAAGCAATTTGTATCTAATGCTTACAAGAAAAGAATAATTAAGATTTGATAAGTTTTTATCCAATTTACACAATTTTCTTATATAGCCTTTTTGCTTCTATGAGCTTCAGCTTAGAATTCTGTGTGATTCTAGCACATAGCAAATAAAAAACTCCAAATTTCTAGTGTTATCAAACAATACAGAATAGAGGAAATTATTTAAAAATTAGTAAAGGGATATTACTTCTTTGCAAAATTTGAAATCAAATATATCCATCTGTGGGGTTAAAGTGAGGCAAAAACCTCAGATGTGCTCTAAGAGTATCATATCTAAGGATGGATCAAAGCTGTCCCAGACAGTGCATAGCCTCACACATACAAAATAGCTTATTAGAAATCACGTGATTAAATGCTTAAGTTCTTTTATTCAGATCATCAAGTTAACTAACAAGTAATTAAACTTAATTTTCAAGTACATTATTCATTTTTTCAGGAAAATCTGTAGTGCCTAGGTAAACATTTATTTTTTAAAAAAATGTTACAATATCTTCTACAATTTTCATCTACTTTTCATTTCAGTCTTATTCACTGATAAAATGAGGAGTGAGGAACAGAAATTTTATATTTTTTGTCTAATATGCCTGAGTTTATGTGACTTAGGGAAAAATGCTTCTTCCATGCCTTTCTCATTCTTTCAAATTATACATGTGAATATTTACTGCTCTAAGAAGAATTGTATTTTGATATCACTAAATGAAATAGGTTACTCTTCTTAATTACAAGGAGTTAACCGGTCTTATAGAGTATCAGAAGAACCAGAGATAGGTGAAAAAGCACATAGGTGAAACCATTTTGGACACCAGCTCAAAGGACTTTTCATTGACAAATACAACTGAATTCTTAAATGGTTAAAACATTTAGAATGTGGTTACTTACAGTTACTCAAATGACTCCACTAGAAGCAAATTCCATCAATGAACAAAATAAATGAAGGTTAAGACACAACTACAGATGAGAATATGATACTATTTTTCCTAGTCTTCTTTACAGTTCAGATTCCTGTCATTTTCTTAGGGGCAGTAACATTGACGGTTTCAGCACAGATAGTGCTTCAAGAGGGGAAAAAAAATAGCTTATTTTTTAGAAATAATTTATATGCCTTTTATTTCTAGGAAAAAAGGCCCAGTTGCTGCTCAAACTTCCCTTGCAACGTTCTTACAGACAGGGATTGTCTTAGGTTAGCTTCAAAATGACCCCACAGAAACATGCATGCAGCAGTCTCTACTGCAGAAGGGCTAATTGCAAATTCTAGTAATTCACACTGAATAAAATAGTTCTGATTGTTTTGTATGTCAAATTGTCCACATATTTAATATCTTCAAAGCTACACAAAATGCAAGTCCTTAGTACTTTTATATTCAATGTGTAATATGTGGTCGGCTGCTTTACAAATGTTTCATGCTTTGTGCTCTAAGTTTCACCTTGCCAAATACTCTGCTAAATGTTCCAGGGTAGGGACCAAATTCTCTGTGTGTTTGCATATGCACACATGCATGCGTATGGGCACGTGAGTGTGTGTGTGTGTGTGAGAGAGAGAGAGAGAGAGAGAGAGACAGAGAGAGAGAGACAGAGAGAGAGAGAGAAAGGGAGGTAAGTGGTGGGAGGGAAAGACAGGGGAGGGGAGAAGAAAAAAGAGGGGAGAAGAAAAAAGAGGGGAGGAGAGAGGGAAGGTGGGAAAAGAAGGGAGAGATCTAGAAAGTTCTTTATAAAGAGCTCTATTCACTAAGTGCTATATGTGATGTTTACCAAGGTTTGTTGAATGCACTGTAAAGCCACCTGTCATGCTACTAAGAAGCAAAGATGTAGCTAAACTGGAAGTACAGGCATTGATTTTGGCAATGGTAACACAGAAATAATTCAGGAAGTGGGGGAAAAAACCCTAAATACATAAGAAAATATAATTTATTATTTGATACACAATATGTTACTTTTATATAAGAATTAATAATTATACATGCATTGATATGAAATTAAAGTAAGATATACTTTCCTCTATTTTACATGAAATTATAGAAAAATTAAGGACATATTCTCAAAATCTTTAAGAAGAACCATATGACTAATGGGATACTGTGGGATAAACAAGGACCTTATCAATAATTTAATCATCTTAATCCCAACTGGATTTAGTTCATACATATATTCACAATGCAAAAAATTCCTGTGCTATTTTGGGCTTTCTTCACTGAGCTTACAAACCAAAGAAAAACTCAGTCCTTTGTGAAATAAGTTACTAACAGAAATTATTTCAGTAAATTATTGTGTTCTTACAAAGGAAAATTTACTCTAAGAAATGAGGTCTCATAAAGAAGTCATGTCTACAATTAGCATGCTATTATTGCAGTTAAAAATATTTAGTGAGAGGTTAAGTTACACTTAAGGGTGGCATTAAACCCTTCTTTTCCTCTTACAGATAGCTTCAGTTTAATTGCCTGATACTATTAATCTTGCTTTATGTATGTTACACCTGCAGATTGCAATCCTTATATATTTTATCACTTGTGATAATATAATAATTCATATTTTACCAGATCTATTTAGTAATGAAAATATTCACAAACAAAAAGACTATCTGAAGTATTAAATTTAATAATAAACCACTCAAAGACAGGACAATTTTTATATTTGTACTTTTACCATTATTCTCAATTTTAAATTTCTTGTGTAATTAAGCTGCTATTCCCAGGGGCTCACTAACAACTTGATGGTGTTATTGCTTGGTGAATGACCCATAGAAACATCAAGAAAACCCCACTTTTACCAAGCAATTCATGAAAATCACAAATTTGAGGTTTAAATAAATATAACCTTAATCCAACATAGCTGTATATGTAGACAGAAAGAAAGTTAAAGTCTTGATCTTCATTTTCCTTTTCTTTTAATGATCCTGTAGTGAGGTACGGGTATAGCAACATAATGAGAACAAGGACTGTAGAAAAGTTAGATTCAACTTAACAAACATTATGAGGGCATTTCAAATAACCCATGATTATGAAATGATACAACTGGTTAAGAACTTGGAGCACAAAATAACAATAACTGGTTAAGAATTTGGAGCATAAAAAGCCAATAACAATAATAATTTTGGGTTTTGCTTTCTGTTCACGTATATATATTTTTTAAAGCTAACAATTAACTTTTAAATATTCCATGTCTGGTATGGAATAAACAGATTCTAAATTCTGTTATTATTAGGAAAGAACAAATTAAGCCAAAATTTCTGAGGATGAGTACCTCCTTTATTGAGCTTAGTCTCTTCATATATTAGTTTTCTTTGTACTCATTCTTTTGAAATTATATAAACTCTGAGAATAGACTCAAAATTGGAAACAATATTGGAGTTATCATCATTAAGCTCACAAGACATTCTCATCTTCAATTCTAGCTTCTTTAGAGAGTAAATTACAAAAAGATATATGGCAAAATAGATGACATTGTTTCAATTTCACCCTTACTTTTTTAAGGGCCCTGAAGAATATATGATTGGCGGATATTTACCCTATTGGTAATTTTTTTTGTTACCTAGTCTGCTATTTCAATTAGGTCTTCTTTAAAATATTTGGGATCTACAAGCTTTATGAAATGATTTGAGTCCTTCAAGCCATCAAACTCTGATTCAAAAATAGGAAGATCAGAAACTTCACAATAGTGCTTGTGAAGTGCGAGTGTTCCTTGTAACCCATAGAGTGAATCCTGATTGGATGTAGCTTTCTGGGAACATATGTGAAACCTAATTTAACCCCTAGGCATAATATACTTGAACCATTAAAAGTGTATTTTTCACTATGGGGAAAAATCTCTGTTTCTTTCAGAGGGCAGTACGTAGCCCTTTATTAAGGAAGATTTCTTATTCCAAAAATAAGTTCCTAATAATTATCACCATTTCTACTGTAATTTATTCCCCTTGGCAAGTGTTTGAAGCTGTTTTGTCAGAACAAATGTAATACACCCTTTGCAAAAATAGTCTGAATGGAAAGTACAGCCTTGTATATCAATGTTTTTCTACAGATATAAGCAGCTCATGGAAATGTTGGGTATAAAGATGACAATATTATATTGTAAGGCTACATAATCTTTGAACATTCTTATTCTCTTACACACACACACACACACACACACACACACACACACACACCCTACCTCTTCTTATAGATATGCCTATTACAAGTATGGTATTTCAAAGACTGAACAAATTTAGCATGTATGACTTATCAGTAATTTAAATAAGGATATATGGGGATGTAAGAGTCCCACAGTTATAGAATAGGATGCTCTCTCTTTGAGAATCTTCTTGTCCACTTCAAGCAGGACACAGCTGGAATGTTAGCCCTGACTGGAGAGCACTATGGGAATCAGAGTTACTGAGAAGGGCCCTTTCTATCCTTTTACTTCCTTTAACTCCAACACAAGTGAGCTATGGGGCATCTCCTGGAAAAAAAAATCTACTGAGAAACCACTACTTACAATGAATGACACAAAGAACTGAAGAGCAGTTGGTGGTCATACTGGGAAAATTAATTTCAGACTCTGTGAACAGTGGTTTTAATTCCTATTACAATTTTTACGTCTAGAAAGTCTATAAATAGGCTGTGCTCTGTGATTTTTTACCTTCAGGAAAGGGAATTATTTCATAAATTTTCTAAAACAGCATATAGAGAATTGCTAAAAATAATTGCTCCTATCATCCCTAATCTGAAACTCATTTTAGAAATGAATAAACCTTATGTGACTTTATTTTTGAAATTGCTACAAACTATTTCAAGTATCAGTGAATAGCCTCATTGAATAACACTTTCAACTTCCTTTGCATAAATCCTCAAATACATTTCTATATATTATTATAAGAGCTGACAGGAGGTATGATGGCTGAGAAATATCAGACTCTACTTAGGCCATAGTCGTATTTCCATAAGCACTCAATCTCAGCTCCAACAATGACATAGGAGATAGAATTCCTGAAAGGGAGGTGGCCAAACTCCACAGGTTTGTCAAGCGCAAGAGAGTCAGGTGGAACCCATTACTAAAAGGCTGCAGAGGTCTCGGATTCCCTTTGAAATCTTCTTCCAAGCCTGATATTTGGAGACTCCACACATATTGGTGACATAGCTTCCAAACTCCATGTTTTGGAAGTAGGCACTGATAACCAAGTGCTAGTTAAAGGGTTGCTGAGTTTGCTTTGGTCTCTCTGCCTTCTCTAGCAGGTAATAAGCTCTTTAGGATTATTTGGTGTGGGACATAGTAGGATGTTAACATACTTGTTAAATTAATATGGATTTTCCTGTTCACATTCGCTTTTCTTGACCAGGGATCATTTTGATTATGAGTTTACATACTTGATCTGTCACAGCTTCCAACTCGCTCACTAAACTTCTCCCTTGGCTTCTCTCATCTCTTTGTAGGAATTCTTGCACCTACATGATAAGTAGCAAGTGATCAAATTTATGTATGAATTGATGGAGGCTTTCTAAGCCTTCTTGGACCTTCCCCCTTCGTTTCCTAAATGCACACCCACAAGCCAGATGCTCCTCGACTCCACCTTGTATTCAAAGTGTAATCCTGGGACCAAAACCACCACCTGGAAGCTTGTTAGTCATGCAGACTCTCAGGCTCCCAACACAGACCAACTTGATTGGGATCTTTATTTTAACAAAACTTTCAGGTAATGTGCATGTAGATTAAAAATTTAAGAGGTACTGGACTAGTCAACACATTCTGTTTCCTCTGTGCATTTTGGCTTCAGCAATCAGGGCTCCTAATAGCCACCAAACATTCACTACAAATGTTACTACATGAGGGGAGAAAAGGCTTAAATTAATAGATGGCTCTTGAGGTATCAGCAACAGTCTCAAACTTTGGTATGCCTAGAGTGCTTGCTAAATCACTGATTGCAAGGACCCATCCTCAGAGTTCCCTGATACAGAAGATTTAAGTGCCATCTGATTCCTTGTATTTTGAATTAATCCCAGGAGATATGATGCTGCTTGTGTGAGGACCACAGTAGGAGAACAGCTATATAACAAGCCCTGACTTCTCTCTACATGCCCTCAGCTTACTTGTGGATATATACCCTCAAATTTGCTTCATCAGCATGTCTAGTCATTGGGCCAATGGCCACCACACATTTCCTGACTGAGGCAGAAAGTATACAGTTAAACTTCCCTTAGCAGTCTATATCAATTAACTTTTATGAAGAGTAGACCCTTAGTATCCAAGGAGAGTACGGTTCCAAGGAGACTGCCACTGAGGAAAAACCATGAATGGTCAGGATGCAGAGCTCAGTGCTGTTCTGAGGATGCTTGATTTGTTTTTCCCATAAGGCTTCCCAACTCCTACAAAAGACATGACTCCTTTTAACAAATCTAAAAATTTCATATTATCACTTCAGCTATACCCTTTCCCTTGCTTTTAGAGCATCGTTTGCTTTTAGGGAGGCAGATTTTCACAAAATTAAGAGTAGGGAAACACTCAGCAGATGACATAACTGACCATAATGTGGGAATGACTGTGACAGCTTCTCTGAATCAACTGAGTTGCATAATGTGCATGCAGAAATTTATTATTTTTAAAATTTTCTTCCTTCCTTCCTTCCTTCTCTCCTCCCACACCCTCCCTATACCACACTTGGTCAAAATCACATGTAATAAATCTGTGAATAAGGTGGGCTTATTGTATTTTATTTTCTATCTCAATAGGTCAACACATGACCTAATAAAAAGGAGAGATGTAGACACAGGAGTGAAGAAGGCCTCCCAAAGATAGGCCATTTTGATTTTTTAAGCGTCCAGTATAAGATGAAGAAATGCCAAAATAAGGCTACAAAAACTACAACATAGTTGAAATGTTAGCATTTATAGGTTCACTTCTTTTTAAACACAGACTTAATATGATGAATATAATAATGTTTACAAATAGATATATAAAAATAGGGGCTGGAGTATAGCTCAGTAGTAGGGGGCATCCTTAGCCTGTGTGAGGTTTAATCCCCACCACACACATGTGCATACATTTAACATGATGGATATATGTGTATGTATGTGTGTATGTATTTCATTTGAAGGAATAGTGAATACTCATAAACTTGAGGGCCTTTGTGGTTAGCCTGAGGTAATGGCTCTCCTGGTCTTCAAGTGATTGGTTCTAGAGGTAAAAGAGATGGAACATGGCAGAGCATGGCTGATAAACAAAATGCAAAGTGAGAGAAGAGGCATGTGCATACAAGGGGCAGAAAATACCGATACCACCAGAACCCAAAACAGCAATTGCCTATTCCCCAAGTAAAGCTCTCTGATATTGGGAGCCTGGTTAAATGGTCATCTGTTTTGTGTTCATTAACTCCGTGTTCCCAGTGAGCCATTCTTAACAACAGTTCTGCACTACCAACTTGCTCAGATGGCTCTGACTATCTCTAAAAATAAAAGATGCATTCAAAATGTTATTCCTGTAGAAATAAAGTGCTTAACTCTAGGAAACATGTCTCCAGTGGTTTATTTCCAGCACTATGATTTTCTGCAACAAATTCCAGGATAAGGAAGTTTTACTAGAATCTCTCAAAATTCAATGCACAGTGGATATAAATGAAAACAAGCAGTGAATATTTCTCCAGAGCTTGCTATAGCAAAAGAGTTAAGTTACTATCACTTATGTATGGCAGAAAGTAAAAAGCAGCCAAGAAAATGAGAAAGCTTTGTAGTGGGGAAAAAGGTAGGCTAACTAAAAAGTGCAGACCATATTTGATTGACTTGGGGAACATATTTGGCTTTCTCTGACTGGAAGAGGGGGAGGGGGTAGGGGCAAAAAATAGAGAAATATGTGGTCATTGATAAGTGCTGACTGTTATGGACTGATTTTGCTGCAAAGGTTGTATTTGACTTCCTTTGCTTCTCAGATGGGTCAGAGTTCCATTGTCATATATGCTTTGGCCCTTACTGCTTTATATATTCAGTCTTTCAACACATCACTGGCTTCTCAGCCTATGCTATCACTCTCAGCTTGTAACTAACTATAATTACAGAAATTCACAAAATTATTTTCCTCAAGAGTTCTGAAGTCCAAATACAGACAAATTTGATAGGCAGTGGTCACAGGAGGTATGTTTCCATCTTTAAAAAAATTCATGAAAAGTATATAATAGTGAAGCTTAAATTCAATTCTCTATATCAATAAAAGAGTTGTGGACTCCTTTGAGAATTTAATCAAGTTTATAAAACCTCTTTCCTGAAAAATACACATGTCTATACTCATATCATACCTACTTATCAAACCTACTTATCCAGAGACATTAAATTGAGAAAGCATGCTCCATACTATTGATTGTTATTTTAGATGTTTCTACTACCCTAGAAAGTTATATTCTACTAAAAGGAATACACATCCTCCTTATATTTTAAAAGAACCGTGTATCTTCCTTCTCAAAGGATCCATGGGTTAAGTCCTTGCCTGTGAAAAGCTGATCTGTGTGGCTCAGCTGTCTGAACAGTCTGTAAATCTGCACAATACTGGGAAAACATTCATGGTTTGGAAATACTCATCTTTACTGAGGTGAGGCTGAAAAGGCTGGGTGAGGTAGACAATCTTCAATAACTTCATCTCCTGGCTTATGTCTGCCCTGATACAGCCATAAGGAAAACTGCTATGAAAAACGGTGAGAATCTTCATTTAATAAATATTTCCTGAAATTCAACCCTGTGGTAAGTACTATGTTAGGCTATAGACTGGATGCTATGATAACAACTCTCAATCATTAACATGGAACTTATCCAAAGTAAAATTTTAATTCAATAATAATCTTATCAATCTGGCTTCCCACAGTCACTTTGCATTTATCTGAGCCCCCTCCCCACTAGGTCCCCCAAAGAACCTGGGCATATTTAAGGAATGTAAACTAATGGCAACATTAGCAAAATATAATTAGGAAGGTAAAAACAATTTAAAACAATACTAAATCTACTTCAAAGGAAGGTATTAATGGTTTTTGGATTGTCCATCACCTGGGATTGTCTATGCCCTAGCTCCTATCCATTAATGTAGATAATCAAGAGCTGAATGTGGGCTGGAGGTGTAGCTCAGTGGTAGAGCTTGCCTAGCATGTGCAAGGCCCTGGGTAACTTACAGGAAGGCAAGAAGACACAGCTAAGAGAAAAGAGCACCTTGAAGGAGCTGGTGAAGGCAAAGAATAGTGAATTTCACAACATTCATTACTTTGGATGTATGAATTTGTTTGGAAATTTAGACGTGTAACTTAAATCATCACAAATTATTTTTCTGTGCTAGTGGGAGCAAAATTGGAAACAAAAGTCAAAGAGGAGTTGGTTTTTACATTTTACCTCTAGCTGATAGCTGAAGTTTAGTGTCTAAACAACTTTACAATCAACTATATGTGTGTGTAGTTTTTGAAAGGACTAACCAAGAAAAATGTGTTTTCTTATGCATGGAAGATTTCAGCTCAATGTTTTAAAATAATCATATACAGTTCCTGATGCTAATGGTAACTATCATGCATTTACATGACTATTTTGATTTGCAAAGTTTCTACTATATTTGATCTTCAGAAAGGCCTCAACCCTCTAAAAGTTGTATTAGCTACTACATGTGTTCTGTGGAATTTAGGCATCAGAATTACCTAGGGAAAAACTCCTATGTGCTTCAGAGATACAGAGATTATTCTTTTTTGTTTGTTTGTTTTCCTCCCAATTTATAATTGTTGATCCAGACAAGCAGGACAGCAACATATTTCACAGAAGCATCAACAGAAGAATATGACATGGCCTGAGGTCACACTTCATCTAAAAGCTGACTACTAATTATATGATGATACTGGAACTCCTAAACACTGTAAAAACCACAGTATTCTTTTTAGTCTTGCACCTCTGTAATTCTTTTAATTTCTAAAACATATCTAATTCAGATACATATGAAAAAAATCACCTTTCCACATTAATATTCAGAGTCATGGGATTCAAAATGCATCTCTACTGTTGTTATGTCATCTGTGTGGGAACTGAGTTTTTCTGAGTAGAAGACATGGGGCTTTCAAAAGGACTTATTTTGATGAATCACAATCTGTTATTTCATTTGTACCCAAGTTAGTTACAACAGTGGTAATTACAGCTACGGGACCCTACAAGATTTAGAGTGCTTCCTTTCAGGGAAACTCATTAAGGAAACTATAAAGAACAAAGGAAAATTAATTGCCACTTTTGGTCAGCCAATTTTAGAAAGACTTATGAGGTCTACAATTGTATATTAAAATAACAGGGAGGACAGAAACTAAAATTTAGTCTACTGAGGGCATTGTGGTATATACATTCATAAATTAATCTGCTTATAAACTAATTCAAACAAGACACAACAGAAGCATCACCTAAAATCTTTAAATTTACTTCCATCAAGTCACTCACCCTCTTCCCACAGCAGGTACTCAGTCAAGTGCTAAATCATGGTACTGAGATTCCAAAAACTTAGGATCTCAAAGTTTGAAGTATTGCTCTCTGACCACAGCCTCCTATCTCACCATCTTTTTTACTTCCTTCATTTTAAAATGAATCTATATGGAGTTACTATCATGCCAAAGTATTTTTAATTTTTTTGCAAGTGGCAAAAAGGTATTTTATTTTAAAGTATAACAGAACATAGAGTAAGATGTAATTTTCCTTCCCACCCCATGTTGCTTCCCTGTCAACAAATCCAGTTCTGCAGAGAAGCCAATGTTCTTTCATAATGGAGACATTTTATGCATGTATGCACCTTTTAAAAACCTAAACAAGTGCATACTACACTGCATTTTAAAATATAGCAATACAACACAACGGAATTTTATGCAGCCATGAAGAAGAATGAAATGTTATCATTCGCTGGTAAATGGATAGAATTGGAGAACATCATTCTGAGTGAGGTTAGCCTGGCCCAAAAGACCAAAAATCGTATGTTCCTCCCTCATATGTGGACATTAAGATCAAGGGCAAAACACAACAAGGGGACTGGACTTTGAGTCAACACAACAAGGGAGGGGTGAGGACATAGGTAAGAACACCTAAAAAATTAGTCTAGCATTTGGTTGCCTTAACGGCAGAGAAACTAAAGCAGATACCTTAAAAAGCAACT